GAATGGGCTAAGCCTGGGAGGAATGTGGCTCTGCTGACTGCTCACAGCTCCCTACTCCCAAGGCAGAGCCCTGGGCAAGCCTCAGGCTAGGGAGGGGCTGGTTCCTTGTGTCCCTGCCTCCAGGACAGTAACCTTGAGCAGGTAGCCACAAGCGCCACAGGCTGGGTTTGTGAGTCCTTCTGGCCTGGGCCCCCTCCCTATCCAAGTCATCCTGGCCAGCCAGCTGGGTGGGTCATCTTTGCAGTTTCCCCTTGCAGCACACTGCCTCCAGTAGTGACCACTTGTACCCCAACCAGATACCTAGGATTGAGTGGAGGGTTGCTTCTTTCCTGAAACCCCATTCCTTGCCTTGGTCCAGGGGTGCAGAGCACTCAGAGCACTGAGCAAGTCATCTCCACCTGCTCCTCTGTTTGCACTGAAGTCCTTGGGGCTCCTGCTTTGTTTGTCCCTGGCCCGAGGCAGAGCCTGCAAAGCATGGTGTAGGGGCTATGGGAGAAAGGGGACCTTTTCTCAACCTGGTGGGAGGGACAGTGGGAGGGGTCAGCAGCCATTCTCCCCTGCTGGCTCCCTGGCTGTTGGTGACAGCACTGGTAGCAGTGGCCTTGCCTTTGGGCCACAGTGAAGCTCTGTGCTGTCTCTCATCCTGTGCCCCATAGCTGGTAGTCAGCAACTGATGCCTCCCACAGCAGGAGCTGAGGGGCAAGCCCATCGTCATAGGTCTGAGGACAGGGGGCCATCTGAGCCAGACAGAGCTCAGACATCACCATGGGGCCTCACAGGCATTAAGGGACAATAAGGAACCTGCTCTTCTGTCTTCCCAGTGCTCTGGAAGACTGAGGCAGGAGAATTCCAAGTGTGAACCCAACCTGGGCAGTTTAGTAACTCAGGGAGAACCTGTTTCAAGGATAGATGTTAGGGAATGTTGCGTAAGCCATTTTATGCTGGTAAACTCGGTGACAGGTGAACAGGCAGTCCTTGAAAGGCACATATGAACAATACTGACTCATGAGGAAACAGAAAATCTATATGGTCCTGTATCCAAAATCTCACAAAGAAAACTTCAAGGGGGCTGGGGAGATGGCTCAGTGGAATAAGCGCTTCCCTGGCAAGCGCAAGGGCCTGAGTTCAATCCCAGGTTCTGCCAAAAAAAAAAGATAAAAAAAAAGAAAACTTCAAGCCGGGGATATAGTTCAGTGGCGTAAGCACCTGCCTGGCAAATGCAAGGTCTTGAGTTCAATCCCTGGTACTGCCAAAAAAAAAACCCGCACCAACTTACGACCAATGTGGCTTCTTTGAATTTTCTAACATTTAAGGAACAGTTGATACCAGTCCTGCCCAACTGTGATTTATTTTGGGGCCCTAAGGCTTAAACTGGGGTTTTGTGTATGCTAGCACCAGCACCACTGAGCTGTACCTCTAGCCCAACCTGTTATTTTATTTATTGACTTTTGAGATGAGATTGCACTGTGCTGCCCAGGATGGCCTGAAACTTGAGTTCAAGCAACCATCCTGGCTGAGCCTATCCGCTGGGACTGTAGGTTTGTGCTACCACACCTAGCTCTGCAGTCGGTCCCCCGCCACCCCGTGGTACTAGGAATTGAACCCAGGACTGTCACACTGAACTGTTTTCCAGATTTTTAAAAAATCTTTTATTTAAAAATAATTATTTAGGGACCGGGGAGATGGCTCAGTGGAATAAGCGCTTCCATAGCAAGCGCAAGGGTCTGAGTTCAATCCCCGGTTCCGCCAAAAAATAAATAAATACATAAAAATAATTATTTATTTGGCGTAGGGTCTCACAATGCAACTTGGACTTGTAGCGATCCTCCTGTCTCAGCCTCCCCAGGGCTGGGATTACAGGCATGTGCCCCCACACCTGGTCCCCAGTTTCAGTGGCTGGCACAGCATGCCCAAATTCCAGGGCTGGCAGGGCATGTAGTACTGGAGAGCAAACCCTGGCCCTTTTTTTTTATCCCCCTGTCTTTAGGACAGGGTCTCACGGTGTAGATTGGACTCATAGTGATTCTCTTGTTTTCAGCCTCCCGAGTGCTGGGATTACAGGGGTACACCACCATGCCCAGTCTCAGTCGCCGTCTCAGCACACCCCATGGGCGGGGCCAGCATGGGGCCCAGGCCCTTTCATCTGCCTAGGCAGGTGCTTCGGTGGGCTGAGCTATCAGGCTGGCCCTTGAAACTTGAGAAGGATTTTTTTTTCTTTTTTGGCTGGCTCAGGCTGCCTAGGGGCGGGAAACTCTGGTCCTTGAGCTTGCCAGGCAGGTGCTTAGTCCACTGAGCTATCTCCCCAGTTTTTTTTTTGTTTTGTTTTGTTTTGTTTTTGGGTTTTTTTTGTTTTTTGTTTTTTGTTTTTGTATTTTTGAGATAGGGTTTCACTATCTAATTCATACTGGCCTTGAACTCACTTTGAAATCTAGGCTGGCCTCAAAATTTAAGTGATCCTCCTGCCTCAGCCTTCTAAGTACTAGGATTGCAGGCATGCACCACCATACCTGGCCAAATCCACTTTATTTAAATTTTATTTATTTATTTTTGTTTTGATGCAGGGTCTCATAAAATTGTGTAGTCTAGGCTTGAACTTGTGATCCTCCTGCCTTAGCCTCCCAGAGTACTAGAATTATAGGCACATACCACCATCCAGCTTCTAATTTTGTTTGTGAAAGGGTTGTCTCTGCTAAAAGGATTTCAGACATTACAGAGCAGTTCAGTCAGCCTTTGTTAGGCCAGAGTTATTCCTGAGACTCCTGCAGTCCTGCGACAGAGGCTCCTCCTACTCCTAGGAGCAGAAGCTGGTAGAGAGAGGAGCTGATCGGTGAGGGGTCAGGGTGGGATAGTCCTGGCTCTGGGTGGCCCCCCGAGACACCTGCACTGATGAAGGCCTGGGTATGAAAAGGAATAGCTGCTGGCTGCCCACAGCAGTGGGGGCCTGTGCCCGGAGTCTCCAGGGGATAGGAGTTGCTGTCCTCTGGAGAATGAGAGCCAGTGAGGGCTGGAGCAGAGAGCACTGAGGGCGGTGCTCTCTGGGGGTAGGCAGGAGGGAGTGGAGCAAGTGGGGAGATGGAGAAGCAGCTTCATTCTCTAGAGCAAACACTGGTTGGCTGGCTGGCTGGAGTGGAGGACAGGCATGGGGGTCGTTTAAGGGACCCAGAAGGGCAGGTGTCTTGGATCCCAGAGCACTGGACGTCCAGCTCTGCAGCTTGGGCTGGCTGGAGCCAGATCTGACTCACATGGAAGCACAGGAAGGCACCTGAGGTCAGAGCCCTTTATAGAGACGGTGCTTGACAGGCAAGAGGTCCGGCCAAGACCAGAAAGAACTTGACCAACCTGCAGCCAGCACAGACAGGTGCTGTGACTTTGGCCAGGTACTTTCCCTTTTCCTTTGCCTGGCAGCTGTGTCCTGGGTTTGCCCACAGGTGGAATAGGACCTGGAGTGACTGAGCACGGGGTCCCCAATTCTGAGCTGGGTGGAGTCATGCTTTGTGACTTAGGCCAGTGTTAGCACCCCAGAGACAGTCCTCTCACGGATGCTGGATCTCACCTGAAAGTCACTACCTAACAGAAAGGCTAGGGACACTGCCCATCACCTCTGTGGCCTGCTCCTGCCACCTGTATGTCTTTTATTTGAGTCCCTGCCTGCTCAGCCTCCCAGGCAGGTGTCTTCTTTATAGTCTCTGCCATCCACAGCACTGGGGCTGCACCCTGCCTGCCAGTGGATGAGCTTTTTTTTTTTAAATGTCATTTAACTACTTGGGCATTTTCTCATCTGTTAATGAGTGACTTGGGCGCCTAGGGGTGGTGGGATATGGGAGCCTGGCTAAGTCTGACCTTGCCCAGGGCTGGCAAGGAACCTGGTTATGGCTGTGACTGGGCCTGCAGAGAAGGCTTTCTGCGGAAGGTGTACCCTTGCTGCCTCCCCACTCTGCTGGGTGAGCCTTTAGCAGGGCAGGTGCACACCACAGTCAGCCTGCGGCCCCGTGGGGATGTGGGGAGCACTGACCTGCCTCCTTGTGAGGGCTGTGCTCCCCGCTGACCGCCCTCCTACCTCTATGGTCACCAAGCTGAGCCTCACACACGCACAGTTGGGCCCATGTCGGTCAGATGGCTGATCCACAGCAACAAGACTGGAAGCAAGAGAGCTCAGGGCTGCTGCATGTAGAAGGAGCGGGTGGTATCCTTCTGTTGTGGGTATTGGGGCACCTGAGAACAGGTGCACCATGCCAAGGGTGACATGAACAGGACTTCTCTAGGCTAAAAAAGGTGCAAAGAGATGGGGCACACCTGCATCCCAGCCATGCAGGGGGCTGAGGCTGAGGGTCACTTGAGTCCACAAGTTACACATTAGCCTGGGCAACATGACAAGATACTATCTTGGGAAACATCAAAAACAGAAAAGTGAAAAAAAAAAAAAAAAGTGGGAAGTAGGAGGGACTGGTCAAAAGAACTAGATTTGGGAGAAAATTTTCCCTTAGAAATCTCAGAACAATTCCCTTTGCCTCTGTCTCCTGTGGTTCCTTAAAGGGAACCAAATAGCATTTCTGGCTGGGTATGATGGTGTGTGCCTATAATCCCAGTACTGGAGGCTGAGGCAGGAGGGCCAGCCCGAGCTATGTAATGAGTTCAGGGCTAGCCTGAAGTATGTAGAGACCCTGTCTCAGTCCCCCACCCACTGGTATTTCTGGAGAGGCCTCAGGCCTATAGGGGAGGTTAGGAGGCCTGAGCTCTGTTTCAGCCCTGGGTGCTGGTCCTTCTTCCCCACCTGCCCTTGCTCCCTTCAGACCCCTGAAGGTGGCTGGCTGCAGACATGGTTCCTGTGGCACACCCAGCTCCAGGTCTCCCTGCCTGCTAGGCTCTGAGGCCACCGAGTGTCAAACTGTGAGGTGCTGGAGTAAGTGGCTCCCAAGGTGTTCGATCTTCATCAGCTTAGTGCACCCTGGGCTGAAAGTGGGAGTGGCTGTCTGAGCAGTAGTTTTCTCCCTTTCCTGCAGGACAAGGAAGATGGGGAGCCGAAGACCAAGCAGCTCCGCGACGAGGAGGAGGAAGGCGAGAAGCACAGGTCGTGTCTGCATGCGGCACTCGGTGGCTGGTGGCTGTCTGCCTACTCCCTTACCAGAGCCAAGCGCCACACTCTTCCCCAAATCCTCCTCTTGTTGGCTGTCTGGCTTCTCCTGCTACTGGCCCTTTCCCTTTGTGTTCTGTGTTACTGCAGAGTCAGGCCCTCTTTCTCTCTCTCGAAGGTGAGCACTGCTTTGGTGACAGGGCTGTGTCCCCCTCACCGCCACCTCAGCATATCCTGAGCAGCACTGTGTTCATCCAGCTGTGCTGTACTCTCAGCATCCTCCCTTCCTTGACAGCTGACCTCAACTCTAGGGCTGCTGCTCAGTTATCTTCCTCGGTGGTTTCTTTACATTGTCGATCTTACTCGCTAAACACTGGTGTGCAGTTGAGTCACTACAGGTTGCCAGACACAGCCCATGTGGGGGTCTGGCCACACTTCCCTCTTGGGCCTGCACAGGTGGTACCTCCATTCCCACAGAGCTTCAGAAATACCTGTGCAGGTGGGGTGCATGGTGGCGTAGTAGAGCACTTGCCTAGCATGTATATAAGGTCCTGAGTTCGATCCCCAGCACTGCCAGAAAAGTATGGGCATGGAGGAGCTACTAGGTGAATGTTTAAACTTTTAAATTTTGTTACCACTAAATGACACAAAGTCATGAATCCCCCTCAAAATCCTCCCCCTCACCACTTTGAACACACTTATCCATCACTCTTGCCATGTCCTACAGCTTTGGAGTCCTCTCTCCTGATGCCAACTTGTGCTCTTGTGGCTGCCTGGATGTCCAGATTTGATTGAAAACTTTGACCTTTCATGGTCATTTTGACTTCAGAAGAGCCAGGTAGTGCCAGATCTGGTGAATGAGGTGGATGAGGACACAGTGTTGTTATTAGAGCTGCCTTTCCTTTGGATGGGACTTGGCAGCGGCAACATTCACTGTATTTATAGCACACCTTATAATGACGTTCTTAATTAATTTTCTCGTTGCTGAGACAAAATACCGAACGCCCAAGGTTAAGGAAGGAAAGGTTTATTTGGCTCACAGCTTACAGAGGTTTCAGTCTGTAGTTGACTGGCTCCATGTAGCGTAGTGTGGCAGAGGGACACCGCAGAGGAGAGACAGTGCATGGCAGGCAGACAATAGCAAAGCACGCAAGGGACAGGATGAACCTCTTTTCTGTTCCTTACATTCAATCCAGGTTACTGTGATTAGGACAGTGCCAAACCCACCAGTGGACTGATAGTGATCACCCATCCTTAAGCCTCGTACCCTTAATCTCAACCTTGCACCATGAACTGTAGCATTACACTGTTGCACCCTGGATTCAGCTGTCTCTGAAAAAGCCCCACCTATGACTGCATGAGGCTTTGTGGGACATCTAGACACAAACCACTCAGGAAAGAGGACTCCAGAACTGCTACAGAAGGTAGCAGGATTGATGGGATGAGTGTATTCAAAGCAAAGAGGGAATATTTTGAGGGAGATTCATGGCTGTGTGTCTCTACTATAATAATTTTTTAGATATATACATTTATTGTATTTTTTAATTACATCTTTGTATGTGGCAATGCGCCAGACGCAACCTTCCTGTTTGTTTGTTTTTTGGCAGAACCAGAGATTTGAACTCAGACCCTTGTGCTTGCCAGGCAAGCGCTTATTCTACTGAGCCATCACCCAGGCCCCTATTTATTTATTTGTTTGTTTGTTTGTTTAATTTATGTATTTGGTATAGGGTCTCTGTGCAGCTCAGACTCCTAGTGATGCCCCTATTTTCAGCCTCCCCAGTGCTGGGATTACAGGTGTGTCCCACCATGCCCGGTTTTGGTGGCCAGTTCAGTGCACCTGGGGTTCTGGGGCTAGCATGGCATGCGGTGCCAGAGATTGAACCCAGGTCCTTGCACTTGCCAGGCAGGTACTTAGGGACCCTAAGGCAGCTGCACGGGCTCTCACGGCACCTCCTCACCCTGGAGCAGATCCAGACACTGTTCTGCGTGTGTCATTGCAGGCTCCTCGTCCCCTCTTCTGGTATAGATGTGTGACAGTTGTGCTCCAGGAGGCCTTGATGCAGAGAATGGAGGTCCCCTGCTGGGCTCTGGGTTCTGTCTTCCTCAGCCCCTGAGGTCCCTGGCTGGTGATGGAAAGGTAGCTGCCAGGTCGTCAGCCCTCTGCCCAGAGATCCCAGCTTGTGTGGCTCATAGTGGGGCCTGTAGTCTCCAGTATCTGTCATGACCCTGCGGGACCCTTTTGTTTACTCTGGCTAGTTCTGAGGCTTTAAGTCACTGGCCAGAGCCTGAGTTCCAGTGTCCTGGCTGTCTTTGATTTGCTGGTGGTCTCAGTACTATGAATATATATATGTTTTTTTAATTTAAAATTTTTAGGGGCCGGGAAGATGGCTCAGTGGAATAAGCTCTTCCCTGGCAAGCGCAAGGGCCTGAGTTCAATCCCTGGTTCTGAAAAAATAAATAAAATAAAATTTTGATACTGGGGATTGAACCCAGGTCCACTTGCATGCCAGACAAGCACTCTGCCACTGAGCTCCATCCTCAGCCCTTGTTATTTTGAGACTGGGTCTTGCTAAATTGCCTAGGTGGCTTGTGATCTTCCTGCCTCATCCTCCCAGGTAGCTGGGGTTGCAGACATTTCCCACCATCCATGGCTTCGATGATCTGTTCTGAATCTCTCTTTATTAGGAAAGAAGTGTCCTTGGTTAGTGACAGGTGGGTCAGACAGTAGACTTGCATGTTGGACCATGTGGGTGATCTCAAATGTGATGTCCAGTGAAGAGCAAAGTGGGCTTCAGGATGGAGGCCTGCACACAGAGCTGTGATGTGAGGGTGACTGCCCACAGTGCTGACCTCATGGTTGCCTGCCTTGTTCAGGATGCCAGCATGGGCCTGGGAGGCAGCAACACTGCCCACCACAGACACTGTGGGCTGTTTACTATGGGAAATGGATGTGATGTTAGGAGCTACACAGAGGTGTGGCAGTGCCCTAGGGAGGACAGGGAGTATAGCGGCCAGGCCTGCTTTTTAAATTTTTTTAATTTTTATTCAAGGCCAGGGGTTGAACCCAGGGTGTTGCACCACATGCTGGGCAGGTGCTTTATCACCAGCACATCTCCAGCCTTTGATTTTGTTTTTATTTATTTATTTATTTATTTTATTTATTTATTTTTTTTAACATTTATTTGTGTGTGTGTGTGTGTGGCCAGCTCAGCTCACCAGGGGGCGCAGCTGGCTGGCATGTGGTGCTGGGGGATCGAACCATGGTCCCTGTGCTTTGCCAAGCTTGTTCCAAGGAGGTGCTTTAGACCACTGAGCCATCTCTCCAGCCCCGATTTTGTTTTTAAAAAGGACAAAGAAAGGGGCACACCTGTTACACATATGGCAAAATGCAGTTTTCATTGACTGCGGAGCCCAGCAGATGAGCTGTGTTCTTCTCTGAACTGTTTAAAACTGAAAAGGAAAGAGGCCAGGCCTGGCCTGCGCGCCTGCAATCCCAGCACTCGGGAAACTGAGATAGGAGCATTACAAGTTTGAAGTCAGACTAGACTATATAGCAAAACCCTGCCTCCAAAAAAAGAAAATAGCTGGGCGTGGTAGCACAGATGTATAGTCCCATCATTCAGGACATTTAAGGCAGGAAGACCACTTGCTCTGGGCTGGTGGCCAGAAGTCACCAGAAAAGATAGTGTGGCTTCAGGGCCACCCTCTGCAGGCTCTGGCAGGTGGGTTCTCTGCTTGCCCTGGGCCACTGCCTCACCAGCACCTGTGCCACCTGTATTTGCTGCCTGCCAGGAACAGTGGGCTCTTCTGACCAGAGCACGTCTGATCCAGGAAGGCTTTCTGAGAGAGCCAGACCTGCTGGACTGCACCTTTGGCTCAGGGCTGTGGGTGGCCCGTCTTGGAGAGCGTGGTGCCCAGAGGCTGTGTCTCTCCAGGGAGGGGACCTCGCATTCATTTGTACCTCAAGTCCAGAGCAGGACCCAGCAGGATGCTTGTGGATTGGAACCTGGAGGCCACAGTTTTGCCATAACCCCCTTAGTGGGGGAAAGGTGGTGAACTTCCTGCTCCAGTGGAGGAATGGCTTCTGGGGGCCCTGGGGTGGAGCAGCCTGCTCCTTCCAGGTGACCTGGGTGACCCACTTTCCAGGCCCTCCAGAAGTGTCCCAATGAGTGCAGGGCGTGCTTGGGGTCATCGCTGGCTGAGAGCTGCCGAACAGGGCCTTAAGGAGAACACGCCTTTCTAGAATCTGAGGGTGGAATTTGAGCAATGAAGGCCCAGAAGCCTGAAGCTGTAGTCTCACTAAGTGGGTGTGGTGGACCTTGCTGGGGAGGCATTGCCAGGGATCACTTCAAGTTCCTCAAGTGTAACAGATCTTGCCTGAGGCCTGGGTGGCCTGGCCCAGCTCCCATGTGGTGGCAGGCTCTCTTCCCTTTCCTCCCCAGCTCTTTCTGCCCTACCATCCCACCCTGCCAGTGGCTCTGAATGCCAGTTCCTGGACCCCAGGCACCCTCCAGATCACTTGGCATCCCTTGTGGAGGCCTGATGGACTCATACATACCACACAGACCTATAGCTGGTGACCAGGTCCATCAACCTGCATAGCTGATTCATCATGGTTTTTTGGTTTGTTTGTTTTAACCTAGGGACATGGGGAAATAAATGTTGAGACAATTCCTGGTTCAGCAATGGGCCTTGAAAAAAATAGGAACTATAGAAATAGACCCAGAGCGCAGGCCCAGCAAGTGAGTGAGACCGCCTGGGGCTGATGGATCCTGAATAGACCCAGAGCACAGGCCTAGCATGTGAGTGAAATGACCCATCCTGCATAGACCCAGAGTGCAGGCCTGGTGTGTGAGTGAGACCACCCGGGGCCCGTTGGATCCTGAATAGACCCAGAGTGCAGGCCCGAGTGAGTGAGAGGACCTGGGGCCACCGGATCCTGAATTGACCCAGAGCGCAGGCCCTGCGTGTGAGTGAGACAACCCTGGGCTGCT